GTTTCATTACAAAGAGAGCACAGCCCCCTCTCTTCTCTCTCCCATCCCCCTCAGCCCTTCCTGCAATATTCCAGTCAGTGGCTTGGATGGACAAACTTATGTTTATAACCTTATAACTGGAAAGGGATCTTTTTCTCCAATTTGAAGAATTAGCTCCTTTAAGGTAGAATGGCCTGCTGTATGCACTCTCCAATAAAAGTATGTACTTCCCCTCATCAGTCAGTTTCCATCTCCAAAATGGAAGTCCCGGTAACTCAGGAACTGGCTTTGTAGGGAACACCTTGTCTTGCAGGTTTTAATATTCACAGCTTTTCAAGCAGTCTCTAACAGTCCTCACTTACTGTTCCAATTAAATTTTTTGAAAGGGCCAAATGTTCTTGACACAGAACCAAATCATTACTTAGCTACTCTTTCCATTGTTTCACAGTTCCCCCTATCAGGGCATAAATCTTAACCAAAAAATGATCCTACTCATATCCTTTCCTCCCAGCCCTATCTCTCCCACCTCCAGTTAATATAACGACTAACAGCCAAAAACTACACACATGCCACACTGTAAAAATGCAGTTAATACACTTTCTGTGTGACCCTATTCCTGGGAAGTTCTGTGTGACCCTATTCCTGGGAAGATTTGAATAAACATCTTCTCAGCCCAGATAGGGAACTGAGGACAGACCAAAAGTAAGGATATTACCAAAGTCCAACTTGGTGAACCAAAGGGTTTTATTCAGGTTACTTACAGGAGTATATATGACGGATTACTTACAGGAGCAGAAATGACTCAAAGACAGCTGCATAAGCAAAAACACAGCCTATCATGGATGAGAGCTCATGAAGGCTGGAGTGCACTGTACAGCCTGCAGATAGCTCAACAGGCTGGGGAGTGTCTCTTTCAGGCAACTCAATTGAGACCCTTTCTAGCAGATTGCCTGGTTTCCACTTACCTCCCTTTAGACATGCTACTGTTTACATCCCTTTCAATTAACATCCTATATTTCTTAAGGAGCTCCTCTCCAAGAAGGAACATCTTTACCTTAGAGGAAATTGCTACACCACAACACTTTCTTAACTTGTTCTCTCCTGATTTATTTAATGGAAATTTTATACGTGTTAACAAAGGCTGATCTGTTAATTTTTTTTCTTTTTCCCCAAGCTGTTTATAAAGGAGGTAAATTGTTTCTAGGTTCCTTTAGCCTTAACTTTAAACAGAAATGGTCTTATATCATAAAGTTGTACTGATTTTGTATGGGAAAATAATTTCATATTTGATTTATTCTTATATTGACTCTTCTTTAACTGCTCTAAACTGTCAAAAATCACGTGATTGCTAATAAAATGCATGTATTGAGGCCACTCATACATTTGTCCCAAGCAACTGAACTATTGTGATGATGCTGTTCCTTATGTCAGTCAATGATGTGGGACTCACACAACACTGCTTGTGAACATAGCCGCAGTTCAGATTTCAAGTCAGTCAGATAAAAACACTCAGTGCTTTCTTTGCTTTCCCTATCAAGTGTTTAATAAGAACACACCCTTGTTACAAAACTGGCTAACATCTTATTCCTACAATTGTATCTGATTTAGTAGCTCAAGAATAAAATAAAATTGAAATATAACTATTGTTGGATAGGCTTGTCCTCTGAATGACCAGCAACAGATGGATGTCTTCTCTAACTTCTCCCCGGCCTACATCAAACTGGTTAGACCCGAAGACTCTCTGTAGGAAGGGAAAGGCAGAGGGAGACAGTCACCCCTCCCACTCAATGGAACAACCTTAACTGCATGAGGGAGAGGGACTAAGGGTAGATACAGCGGAAGTGAGGGAGAAAGAAGGCATAGCCATCTTGGGCCAGCAGCCACAGATCTGGAAGGCTCAGCTGAGTGCAGGAAAAGAGCCCAAGGGTGTCTATACCTTTGTAAGTACTCCTTACCGCCATCATACGCTCTGTTAGTAAGCCCGATAAATATTTTTATTCCCTTAACTGTAATTTGAAGGAATATTTTCTTGGTTGGTCATAAGGACAGTAGGAGGAAGAAGCCAAGAGTGAGACTCCCAGCAATAAATTCGACTCACGATAATAGCTCAAGAATAAAGAAAAATTGAGATATAACTGTTTTTCAAATGAAAAATATTTGAAGAGTCCATATTTCACTTGTCTACAGAGACTTTACATTTTCTGGCCAACAAACAGGCAAACAAACAAAAAGACAATGGACCTTTCATTAGTGAACTGAAAATTAGAATTTGCAAAATGCATTTATTTTTAACACTGAACTGATAGTTTTGTCCATTTTAGTGATACTAGAATTATGTAATTTTACTAGTGAGGCAAAAGATCAATAGAAGTTTAATTTAATTTATTATTCTTAAATGAGTACTGTTGACCTAAATTTAACTGCTGATCAAATAAATACAAGATAGGTATTTGAAGTCTCTGGAAAATGTAAGAAAGGTTCAGTCGAGGTTCTTTTAACTTTGTTCTTAGGTATAGATCTCTGTGAGTGTATCAGTATTCAACCTCAATGCTCAAGTAAAGTGTCAGTGTCAAATCTGGGGTTTTATGAAAGACTGTCTTTTCACAGACTCAGATATGCACGTTATACAGATGTTTCTCATACATAACTGAAAATTTTAGAATGATTCTTGGTTCTACTGAATTATTTTCAAATAACCAGGCTAAGTTTCTTGGTGAATCTAGCTTCCTTTCGATTTAGTTTCTCTTTCAAGTGCAAAAAATAAATCAGAAACTTAATACCCCAGACACATGTAGAAATTCACAGTTCCACATTAGCCTCAGGAGCCTAAGTGATGATTGTCACTGAGGAAAATTTATGACATTTCAAGAAATTGTGCCTTTGTTTTCTTCACCTATCTCTACGGTTCTACAAATTCTGGGACTCTTCTTGATAATGGACATCTTTCATTTTGAATTTCCTAATTCTTTACCTACTTGACAGTTTAAATTTGCTTTATGAGTTTTCCTGGACTAGTGACATGCGTTTGCTTTATTCTTGCCGTTTCAATATTTGTATTAAGATGTTTAATTGTATCTGTTAGGTAAAACAACTTAATAGTAATTTCAAATTAAAGGTTGAGTATCACAGAATTTTTATGCTATAAAAAGCCTGATCTAGGCGTTGAAGAGATGATTCAGAGGCTAAGAGTACTGACTGCTCTTGCAGAGGACTCAGGTTCAGTTCCCAGCACTGATATAGAACTGTCTATAACTTCAATTCCAGGGAGTCTGACACCATCTTCTGTCCTCTGTGGGCATTGCATGGTACACTTAACACACACATTCAGATGTAAAATAAAACCAAATCTCTAAAACATATTTTTAAAAACTGATCTATCCAAACAGCTCAGTATGTCTCTTCATGAGCTTTCTATGACAATTAAAATATATACTGTATTTATTTTTTTTCCTATTTCCAAATATTTTACAATGTGAAGTGACTGGTCAGGCATGGTGGTTATGCCTTTCTTTAATCCCACCACTTAGGAGGAAAAGGCAGGAGGAGCTCTGTGAGATTGGGGTCTGCCCAGTCTACAGTTTTCATAGCAAGCAAGTCCCGGGCCAGCTTGGGCTACAGATCTCTGTCACCAAAAAGGAAAAAACAAAAAAGTGACTGAAGTGACAGACAAATATTACATTCATATACTTGGTCTCTTGCTTCCCTCTCTGTATGTTTTGGGTTCATTCTGCAAAATTAGATGAATTTTTCACCATTCATATCACCGTTTCAGATCTATAATTCCTTTTTCTCATTTGAACATTGTTTTTTTCTTGTCTCTGAAAACTGAAATCTATGGGCACAGATCACAAACATCTCTCTATTTCCTTTGTTTCTATTTTTACTTTTTTTTCTATTTTTGTTAATTTCATACTTTCCTCTAAGTTGGTTTTACTAGCTGAAGAGGAAATACTTTGCTGCTAAGCACAGTAATGGAGCCACACCTCCAGGTTGGAGTTCACACTCTATAGCCAGTGTTTCAAATTCAAGGACAAGATTAGATGGTCATTAGGGTGACTTCAGAACTGGAAGAGTTCTGAAGAGAGTGAAGAGAGGCACCGTGAACTAAGAGGCCAGTTGTGCTGCTAGGTGTGTGCATGTTGACCAAATACAGTGTGCTGATGCTCAGAGTCACCAAAGTCCACAGTATCAGAGACATTCTACTCCAAATTTCTTTTCTTCTATAAAGTTTTCCATTGTGGTTATTATTGCTGTTTTCCTAAATATGTTTCTTTTACTTAAAGCCTTTATAGTAGGTACACGGGAGGTTAATTATATAAAAAATCCAGAGTGAAAATGTTGAAATCTAGAAACATTCAGAGAAATTTTCTGTGCTTTCATGTGTGAAATAGGAACCAACAATGAAGTAATATTTTGTGGAGATATTAATATTTAATATCCTATTTGTGTAAAGCCAGATATTAAGGATTAAAAATAAAATAGTATATATAATATGGCATCAATTCATACATATACATTGAAGTAATTATGAATTAATCATTCTCTGAATTTTCAGATATTGTTTATACAAGTAACATGGTGAATAAAATTATTGAAAATGTAATAAGTTTTATCATTATTCTTTTCAAAACTGTTCAGAAAAATCAGTGAGGGATTTTTGGAATAAAGCTCCAATTCTATTTTTATCACTGAATCTCCTTTTCAGTAACCTTTTTTCATCTTCTTTGGAATATTTAACTGACACATCTCAGAATAACTAACATTATCTGATTGAGTGATAAAACCTGCTAATTTCTTTCATCACCTGTAGACATTTTGAGAACAATGAGAATCAGGTCTGCCAAGCCCAGGTGATTATTTTTTTGTAAGCTCAGTTTGTAACTAAATAACTTTGTGCTTCTGGGGTCCTGATTAGAATGTGATTGTTGAATAACCTAACTTTGATATATTTTTTTCTGAGCAATCAAATTCTTATTAAAGTTGGTTACATTCATCATGCCTTTTTCTGGTTTTCTTTTCAGGACCCCTTGTTCTACCTGGAATCATACAGATCTGAGAAAATAAGGGGCAGATGTCCTTTTGACCCCAGCTCCTCCTTCGTCTCCACTCTAATTGGTAATTATCTTTGCCTCAGACATCAGGCGGTAGTCATAGTGATTTTGAAATGCGTTTCTCAACTTCAGAACATTCTTTGGCCTTTCTTTGTACATTTTGCTTTGCAGTATCTATCTGCTGTTTCAGGGAATAGTGATACTGAATTTGAGCCATTGTCAACTTAAGTAATTTGACTCTAAAATTAATACAGGTGCTGTTAAGTATGTCTGTCCAGTCATGAAAAAAAAAATCTTCCCTGAGTACATGGGCAATTTGTATGGTCCCATTTACTGCTCACAAAATGTAATCATATGACATTATAAAATCTTAGCCAGAGAAACTAAACTATTTAAAAATATGCCAATATTCTATTTCAGTTACATCAAATAGCTATGCTTTCCTTTACACTTTTTGTCATCCATGGAATTCAGCAGAAAAACATATTAGCTAAGAAATCTAAAGTTATTATGTCTAAATTATTTTTTACATTTATTTCTGAGAGAGGGAGAGAGAAAGAGAGAGAGAGAACACATCACTGTGCACATGTGGAGGTCAGACGACAACCACAGGAGTCAATTCTCTCCTTCCACCATGTGGATGTTGGGGATTGAGCTCAGGTCATCAGACTTGGCAATAAGACCCCTTACCTGCTGAGTCATCTCACCAGCTCTATTTACCTAAATTCTTCTTAAGCTAGAATATAAACTACAGAGCCTGATCAGCTCCAACTAAATATGCACACTGAAGCAATGCAGTAAGATAACACTGTCTAAAAGATACTGCAGTTCAATTCAGTTTAATCAGATGAATTGCCTGAGGTCATCACATGACACAATAATACACTTTTCTTTGTTATTTGGAATTGAAAAATTAAACATTTGTCAAAGGACTTCCACACTATGATAATATGAATACACAGGAGTTCCTACACAGAGTTGACCCCATGTTGGCAAATCCTTGGGTCTTTGATTTCTTATTCCTACCCCTCCCCTAAACTCCATTGTATATACATTTATGTAACCTGCTTCCTATTATTTCTGGAAAAATGTGTTAAAATTTGCCTCTCTTTGGAATAAAAACTTGATGAAATTGATCACTGACACCTAACAGTGCTAAGATATGTGCTTCTTGCTTCTTCTTATTGAGCAATTCTGAGGCAGACAGGATGCCTATGCAGACACACTGTCATTACATTTGCGTTGTTTATATTTACAAATGAATACTACTTTGTATATTCGGAAAATGAGAAAGTATAAATTATAGAGACTCATGTTCTAAATAAGCTGATAAACTAAAACTCCTTTCTGATGTTTACTTACAACATGCTCTATTTGATTTGGAGTTGGCTCTCCTGTGCTGCTCAGAACACCTGGGAATGTGTTTTCTTGAAGTTTTTCCAGATTGTGATGGGCTTTGCATCTGCTCCCTGTGCTTCCCCGTCCTAATCATGGTTCTCAGAAACAAATAAGTAACATTTTATAGAGACATGGATTTATAAAGAAAGCTCTCATGTTAGCTCATTAATCAGAAAGCTTTACTTTTGCTTCATTATTTGAATATGTTATAAAATGAGAATTTCATATAGTAAGTTCTTCAGAGACTTGACTAAAGACATTGGATATTTTTTTAAAACAAATAATTCTAAAGAAAATACTTATTTTGTGAGATTGGAGAGATGGCTCAAAGGTTAAGAGCACTGACTGTTCTTTCAGAGCACCTGGGTTCGATTCCCAGCATCCACGTGGCAGCTTACAACCATCTGTAACTCCAGTTTCAGGAGATTCATGCCTTATTGTGACCTCTGCAGGCATTTCATGACATTGATGCACTTACACACATGCAGGCAATACACTCATACACATAAAATGAAAATAATAAATAAAGTAAAAAATAAAATACTTAATTGAAAATATTTTTAGTTCTTTTGTGAACCCATTGTGCATATGCACATGCACAAATCTGTGTGGGATGTGTGAGTGTGTGTGTGTGTGTGTATGTGTGTGTGTGTAAAGCATAAAGGAGACCTTAAATATGAACACAGATTTGTTAAGGAAGTTTAGATATTAGGAATCACAGCCTTAAGAATGGATGTGTAGATGGAATATAGAATAAGGGAAACTAGCAAATAAGAAATATATATTGAAATATTTTTCTTAATAAAAATATATTGAAGGTTGACTTACACAGCATACATTAATTTACACTGAAATCTTCAAAATATTGGGAAGAGAAGACTAACATTTTATTTTATTTTTTAACATTTTCTCAAAATGTTAAAAAATAATTTCTATAGCTATATCTTCCACTCAACATCCAGTCTCCTTGGAGCTGGTTTATGCATGAAACTAGGAATTTAAAACTGGTGTTTTTAAGAGGGAAGTGTTTCTAGAGGGACATTTCCAAATGAGTTTCCTTGAACTTCCAAATCGAATTACTGTATGCTCAAATGTGAATTGCTTGCCATCTGGGCGGCTGTTTCAATTATTCCAAAGAGCAATCAAATGAAAGAGAGCTCTCCAAGTTAAGCACAAAAGTTACAGTATAATTCCTCCAAAGAGAAGAAATAAAAATACAGTTCTTCACATTTACCAACTTGCTTTCATCCCAAAGCACCTTGGAGAGATCACTCACTCAGTGTGGAAATTCTGTAGCCACTGGACTGGAAACCTGACAACCTATGAGAGCCACCAGCTCTTTACAAGAGAGGAAGTAAAAATAATTCACTCCATTGAAAAAGAAGTAGGAACATAGAGTGGAAAATGGAGCTACTGAAGTTGGAACCTGGCAAGTTTGGTGCCACTTACTCTGATAGGGAGGAATGTAGTACTGTGATATTTCATGGCCACCCATGATCTATGCTGATGGGTTAGAACAAGCACCCAGCACAAAGCCACCAGCTTTCAACCACCAGTCCTTGTTTCTTTGTTCATTATACACCACACAATGTGTAACAACTGTTCTCACGAGGACCGACTTAGTTAGAAAACACTCAGACTGATAGCAATATTCCCTAAACTATGAGGCCTCAAAGAAGGAAAAAGTGCTTTCAAAGTAAGGAATTTATAATAGTTTTTAACTTTAGATACAGTTTTAATTTCAGTTAACTAAATTCAGGTGATGTAATGTTCCCTGGAGGAAAAAAGAACTCGGAAAAACTAAATGAATTGTAGAGTATTTGCTGGGTGAAAACAAATATGCATTTTTAAATTAAATTTATAAACTTATTTAGGAATGAAATGGTAATAGAAAGAATCTAGATTAGAAAGAATTTCAAGAGCAAACCATTCACCATATCAAGCCATATTCCCCAGGGTTGAAACCAATAAAACTGAAGTCTTAGGTTAGTTAGGGCAACTTTCTCCTCAAATGCCATAGATACCTAGTTTGCTTTGGTGCATACTTAAAAGCACATGTCTCAAGTACAATAATTTCATGTGTTTAGTCAAGTTCTCCCCACAGAGTGCTTTCCAATATTCTATTGAAAGCTATTTCAAATAACCGTCTAAGTTATACAAAGCATTAGTGTCTGGTTTTAAAAAGTGTTGATAGCAGGAGTTTATCACTGAAATGAATTGCTGTATCACTTATCCATGACTTTCAAATGGTCCAATCATACTTAGTATTTATCTTGCTAGGTAAAATAATAAGTGAGTTATTATTTGGAGACTGGACAAATCAAAATTCATGAAATATTTCCTTGATGTCACATATCATTTTGGCCAGGCAGGAAATATTTTAGCTTTTTTTTATCTGTTGTTTGATGCAGAATTCATTAGGTTCCCTTATACTTTCTCCTTTCAATCTTATGGCTACTTACTTTTTACATTTTATTTTTTCCAACAATTTTGTTACAATTCCAGGTTAATCCTATCCCACCTGAAGTACCTACTTTATACTAAAATGCAAGGAACTAGTGTTTATGGGAGCCATTATGATTTGTCATGTATCTTTTGAAAATTTGGTTAGAATCTGTTAACATTTGTGTGCATGTATGTGTGTATGTATGTGTATGCACATGCATCTATATAGTATATGTGTGTTATATGTGATAGAAGCACCTATGTGTGGAGTGTGTGTGTGTGCCTGTGCACGTGTGTGTGCAGGTGCATGTTCGGTGTCCTGCACTATCATTTTGCACTATATTCCTTTTATAGAGAGTTTCTTCCTGATCTGGAGCTAACTTGCTGCATAGGCAAGCTCAGAATCCTCTGATCTCCACACCCCATAGCTCTTGGGCTCTAGGCCCATGCCAGCTTCTTCATGTGTGCTAGGGATCTGAACTTAGGTGCTCATGGGCTCTAGGCCCATGCCAGCTTCTTCGTATGTGCTAGGGATCTGAACTTAGGTGCTCATGCCCAGCAAGTCTCTTATCCACTGAGTCATCTCCCCAGCCCTCAATCTGTTAACTCTTATTGGGATATATTTAGGGACACAATAATTTAAACACTTACTAAATTTGGTTTCAATAAATAACCAGCACTAAGAAAATTTACTTCTAGGCTGGCAAGATGGCTCAGCTGGTAAAAATGTTTGCAGTTCAGGCTTGATAGCTGAGTTTGGTCTTCTAATCCCACAGTGGAAGGAGAGAATTGAAACATAAAAGTTGTTCTTTGACACCACATGTGTACTGTGGCTCACACCCACATTCACACACACACTCACTAAGAATACCAATAAAAATTTGAAATTATGAAAATAATTTTTTCCTTGTAAAGCTCTGGAACCTATGGTCCTATGCTAGGTTTTTCAGAATGTAAAACTGCAGTGTCCATAGACGCTGAAATTTTTTGTGAACTTTTATAAAAATAATTCACATGACCAGAGTTCTATGAATTAAACATTAATGATGATTGAACAAAAAGAAATGAAGTGCGTATCATGAACATGTGACTATTTCAAGTTGTTAATTATCTATATTTATATTCAGAGCAGAGTTGGGAATGAATATTCATTTCTTGAATTCATCCCAGTTGAATAGAAACTTAGACTTCAAGTTATTCCATTACACTTTCATGCCCATG